TATATATATATATATTTGAAAACGGTATTAAGAGAACGAGGTATCTGCGAGTGCGTAACCATGCTTCAACTAAACCTGGACCGGATTCCAGCAGACTGATGCACAGCACTAAGGGCCTACTCGATGCGGACACATGGAACAGCAATCAATGTGATACACCTTCTTCTTATTAAGCATAACGACAAGACAGGATCTTCGAAGAGATTTATTATACAAGAAATGTTCCATTTAAAGAATATAACTATATATAAACTGTAAACGGTAATGAAGAGAAATCCTGCGAGTATTAATGCAAGTCGCCCTAAACGAACTTAAAACACACGACTCGTCTTTCTTTGGAAATTCAAAACCCAATTGGATGCAATTGATTTCACAATCGGGTACAGCACTAGTACTTGACGCACACATAGAAACAGAAACCAATGTAATACGCGCTCTTCTTCCGACGGAAAAAAAAGCTTATTTTTATTCACCAGTTGTACTGCATCGAAGGGTTAAATATACTTTTATTTACGATGGGTCTGAATTGAGTCAAAATGTCCTATTAGATCTGAATGTTAGCATCTATTAGTAGAAACATTATGGACGCTATATCGCATTTTAATTTATGTTTGTATAGATAATCGACAGGCTCATTTGGTAGAGCCGTTATCCTTAATTAAATCCTACATACACGGCAGTAATTCATGTTGTCAGCAGTCTGTTAAGCATTGGATGTATGCTGACCTTTTCAGAATGTCCATCTTCAGTAGCAAGAAACGTAAGAGGTTTAAATTAGCACTCCTTCTGATTCAAGTCTATGCTCAAGATATTTTGGATGATATATAGAAACGCAAACAACTGTGAGAAACTGTTGCTCAGAAGAAAATAAAGTAAATTTGTTAAAGTAAGTCTACTCGTAGGCTAAATTCCCCTTCACGAGAGCCCAGCGTTAACATGATTAAAATAAGTTGCAATCTTTTTCTATAGTATAGACTTATTAATACATAAACAAACAAAAAAACATATTTACTATAGAATTTTTTGACTAATACTGTACTAAATACATTTACTTTTGAACCTTTTATAGGCTTTTAAATTAAAGTGCAGCATTGAAAATCAACCAAAGAAGATGCTACTGGGATCTGTTCAATTGTCGGGTAAATCGCTATCTGCGTCTGAGGTTAGGGAAATATGCGACTCTCTACGCTCTCATTCTGTTCGTATTCTGTCTCTTCGTGGATGCCAGGTAGGGGAGAAGGACTTTAAGAAGATGATGCAGGCCCTGGCGGAGTGCAAAACAGTAGCGCAACTAAACCTAAACCTGGGTGTCGTATGCGACCTAGAACGAGTCAAGATGCTCGCACTTGCACTCAATAAAAACAGATCGCTTACGTCACTGCAGTAAGTATAACAAGCTCTCATGGTGCTTGTATTTGTTTATTATATTCATTAACAGCGTGTGAATGATCGCTTGTGTAAACAGGATGGAAGGAAAGACCTAGAAACTAATTCTCATTATCAAGATTAAGAATTGTTTTATAAAAGGATTTGAACTTGGAAGGCAATTATATTTACCATTCAGACTGCGCAACTCCAACGCTATTCCCACCTCTGCAAAATTGCAAATAGAGTAAGTAAACATAAACGTTATAGCTACTGTAAGAATATCTGGTGCAATTTTTCTGGATTATTTTTTACCATTATGCTCATGGTTGTTACGGTATGTATCTTCCTGATCGGTTTAACGTCTGTTTATACTGTCATGTTTTATGTGCAATAAACGCCAATATTGTATCAGATGTCATGTCATACCCATTGGGCAAAGCTCTGGTATTTATGAAAATTAATCAGATCGAGTGGGCAGAGCTGTATACTGACGTCTCCTCTGAATTTGAACAGCCGATTGTCAAGTTGCGCGCGTTTTTTGGGTGGGTTACCTGAGCACTGCTAATTTTACAATTAAACACCAAAACATATATTAAAATATCGATCAAGGTTTGTGATAGAAAAACTGGAAGCTGTTCTTTCTGAAAAACGTATCATCATCATGATGTAACGGATGTTAGTCTTATATTAATGTTAATCTAATATCTGTACAATCTAATGATATTTCATCCGCTATGAACGGTTAATGTTAATATCATAAATATGGGGCCTACCATACTTTATGAATATTTAGATTACTGTATATGCCACCGCGTATCTGTATCCAGTGTCTATAATCAGATTCTGTGACACGTGCTCAAAATCAGATAAACCTGAATTTGCCGATTCTATGTCACCTACGCTAGTCTCTGTGGTCCGATCATCGTTCTCGTGTCTGTTGTCACGTAATAATTTCGATGTAATTGCTATGTGATATTTATGTATGTAGGCTTATCAATACTCGTAAAGAGTTCACGTGGAATTAAGTGCTTGGTTACGATGCATGATATCCTGTTTAACATTTCGTAATAGGCTAAACGACGTTGTCGGAACCATTATATTCACCTCCGAAGGGTTTAAGCATAAATATTACAAATTAACACAAATATAGGTCGATTCCCTAATACTTTAATTTTCATTAATAAATATGTTGTAGAACACAGACTTAACAAACTTTATTGAGAGAAACTAACTTGAGCTTTCATTTTACGCATTGAACTAAAGGCATCTCAGTAACCTGAAGAATTTCACCGTGTGAACGAAGCTTAACGTTAGTTAAGAAAGTTTTTTAGTCGGTAATTCCTGTCAATAACATTGCAGTATATTTTGATTAACACAGACTCCCAAATTAATTTATTAGATGTTCATGTTAAACTCTCTACAATCTAGATTCTGTATACAGGTAACACACATGTGCAATACAAGGCACAAAGCAAATTGGAAGTACCTAATAAATTACCGTAGCTATTATAACTTTTACACGTGTACGTACTGGGGCGGCTCGAATCGAAGGTACAGTGTACAACATGTGACTCGGGTCGCTTCTGTGTCAACTTCATTGGTACCACTCAGACAGCGTGCTGTTTTCAGATTTCTTTTCCTCACAGTCCTTGAATGAACTTCATCTTACTTGTGGGTTCCTTGAGACTGGATAACATTTCTTCTACTTCTTTTTGCAACTGCAAAATAACAGCTTAAGGCCTATTTGTTTTCGGTGGATATCCATGTGCGTTATGGTTATTTTTTTACGGTAAAGCTTGGAATTCGCCATATAATTTCCATACAGTAGTAGTCTGATAGAGGTATTCGTATAATTTAATTGATTATAATCAAATTATGGTATAGAACGACTTCAGTCGTTTCTTGAATGCATCGACTGAAAGATAATCTCGGATCATCGATGATAATCTGTTCCACAGTTTAACTTATCTTGATGTATGTTTGTAACCATTAACATTTACATGAGTGACCATTTGCATGGGTAATTGAAAGACGCGAAGGCGTTTAAGACCATTTAATGGATCTGTATGGAAAAATAAAGACATTAAAAATAAGTTGCTTACCAGCTGAATTGGAGCTTAAGTTTGTAGATCAATATCACTGCAATTATTTAAAAACAAGAATACATTTATCATCCTATAAAGTAGTTATCAGCGGTGGAGTTCTTTCTCCATATGAAGTTTAATAGCTATATTGATATAATATAAAAACCAGCATGGTTGTCATGGAAGCACAGACGTTCTTAATTCTAGTCGCATATGGTTGGAGTAATTAATATTGAGGTACTTTTTCGAGAGTCGCATACGCCAACGATGACGTGACACTGAGACAACGTGCGACCCAAAATACTTCCTACAATTGAGACGACAATCAGTGGTATAACACCGCTTGTATCTTGAAGTGGGAGGGTGAAGCCTAGTGGAAGCTACAATGCCGGATTGCACTTTTTAGGGCAACTGCGCGGTGTGGTTGTCGTATAGGACACTATGTTAACACGACTATACACTGTTATAGACCCGGCACTACTGTTTTTCACGGCGTCACTGATCCAAAATGAATAAAATAAAATGTACATTCCGATTCAGGTTAATTACCCGTTCACGCTTGTTACAAAACACGGTTTCATGTTCAGTTCATAAACTAAAAATAGAATAAGCAACACAATTCGTTGGCCTCGAATAGGCAAGTCAAATCTTTAAAAAAATTCGATTCCCCAGGTTACGGTACTTGTTAACCTGTAGGCCCCCATATTACTCTATATAAGGACTAAATTATTATGTAATTGAAATTTTCGTAGTCATAGTCCCTTTTTTTTCTCGGGCCCATGGTGTCTATTGTAAGTGTAGGCCGACAATTGATTATCAATAACCCCATCGACATTTCATCAGGGGAATCAATCACGATGGCTACTTAACCGTCATTTTATATTTTCCAGTCTATAAAACGATCATAAAAAAAAAAGATCTACACGTTACAGGTCCTCTCTTATGAAATGCATGGGCCTAAAATTTGCGTCAAACAGTGAATTTTCGTCTGTAACTTCAAGGTGTCTTAACGAAGCATTGAACGAAGGGGTGTGGCTGTCTCTTATACACATCTAGATGTGTATAAGAGATCAAGGTTTATGACCCATTAAACTGTCAATTACATCCTCAAGTGAGGCATAGCTACTCCAGTTGCACTACCGTACTACAGTACATTCAGTGACATTGCTTGCAAGAAAACCTGGTGTGATTAATGTATGTAGTAAGGTCTTTATAACTGTAATTACATACTGCAAAAAAATCTAAGGGCCATGTACACCTAATGATGTATAACAAAGAATGAAAATGAAGATGATGATAATATTAGTAATAATAATTATATCGATAATGATGATATTGATGGTACATAACAAAGATGATGAAAAAGATGTTTACTAGGACAAGTAACCGGGCGATGAATGTATCCATGGTATATTTTGCTCAATACAGAACGTGTCTTCTATTACAGAGAGTTACCCTGATGCATTCGAAATTACTGAAAATAATGTAACATCATTTCCATTAAATATCATAATCGATTTATGTTATTAACGAATTACAATTAATTTCATTCTAATTTTAGCCTCCATGGTACTCCATTAGGGGATAAAGGTCTCACGATGCTTATAGATTCTCTCTGCCTTCATCCAGGAATTCGCACACTCGATCTGGGTGACTGTAACCTAGGAGACGAAGGAATACGTCTCATCTGTAGAATGTTGCCGGGAAACGGCGCCAGGCCAGGTAAGATAGACACTGAATCATCAACCATCGTCTTCTGTGCAAACGTTACAATAATAAAAGGTTTATCCTGCGGAGATAGCTGCTTAATGGTTTAATAATGCTCTACGGAATTTGGAATTGATTCGCAGGCTGGGCATATCACATAACGAAATATTTAATTCGTTCTGTTAAATCATAATCGCGAATTATGAATCTTGAGTCATAGAGTGGTTTGAAGTTCTCTGCACGCTATCATTTATATCACAAATAAATGTAAGATGCCCATACAGTACTTGGTTATAATATAACATCATCATGTCCATATATGGGTATTCACACAAATTTGTCACATAAAATTTGATAGTGTGGTAGAGCTTACAATTTTCGGATAAAAATACATCACCACGTAAGTGTCACGTATTTCGGTTACAGACCCATAAACGTATTTCGGTTACAGACCCATATTCGACTTCGGCTTGTTGAACACGGTTGGAACCAATAAAGAAAACCAGAGAATGAAACAGTGGTAACTATTCGGCCAAACACGACAATAGTAAAACACACTAACCCAAAAATGGGCCCAAGATGTAGGCATACAAAGCGCCACCCTCTCTCAAACATAACAGAAATTGAAGGAGTAGTAAATGGGTGGTGGTGGTGGTAGTGAAAATGCAAAAAAATTGTTGGAGCCATGTTCAATCAAATATGGATCCAGTGGCCTCATGGCATATCTTACTTTTTTTACCCTAACCTGTTCCATATTACTCCGCCTTTACAAAAGCAGATCCAGTGCCAATGCTCCTATAATACTAATTCAAATTACATTTCAATGCTTTATTAATTAATCAATGTACAGTCTTAGGATCTGGTGAATATGCTATAGATGTTAACATATAGGCCTATACAGTAGGCTTATGTGCATCAAAAATATTACTCAAATTATTTTTCCTTGATACATCATGAAATAATGTTGTGTTGTATAATTAGTGGGGTATTATTTTTTGTATGTTATTTAAACATTTTGAACAAAAAAATATCTATTTTTGTGGTTAGACCATTATTATACATTAAACCATTCTTGTTCAATTTTTATGCTAATGTCCCTTGTTGGTACATTTATTATTTATTGGGGGATATTTTAACATTCAGAGGTAATTTCATAACTTATCCTATTTTTCTGGTACCGCTAGTTCATAATACAACATACAATATTGTGCGAAAGTTACTCGTGTCACGGTTTAACGACTTTCAAGTAAAACATCTGCTTAATATACAACATCAGCTTTCCAATATTCGTTTCGGTATTAATGTACATTAATATGTACCATCGCGAACAAGAAGCCAGAAATGAATACTGTAGAATAAAAGCATACAAAATTATCGAACTTAGTCAAGATCGATCTCCATGGATACCATCTATGACAGACAGATTAAGGATTTTCGTTACTTTTTCATCAAACGACTTATACAAGCTATTGGATTTTTGTTGTATTCTCATCAAGCTATTCAACTTTTGATAAGCGATTTTGCTTGCTATTTCCTCCATGCTTTTAGCTTAATAACTTCAGAATAAGATGCGATTTAATTTACGTCACTCAACTTAAATCTTTATGAAGAGCATAAACACTTATGAGTCACTTTTCTGCTACATCGAAATAGTCTCAGAAGGCAGCGGACGGCTTTTTTTAAATTTTTTAATTTTTTTTTTTTTAAGTTTATGCTACATAAAACCTAATGGGATTCATCCTTAAATCCAATTTGTTTTATCCAGAGACACAAACACCCACAATACAATGCCTATTAAAATTCCAGAAACGTATTTGACGTTATTCTTAGCCGTTTCGTGTTTTTACATTAAGCGAATAATTGTTTTTGATTGCGGATTCGTTGCCATGGTTTCTAAAATAGATTGTATTGTCGAGGCGTTAAATCATTTCAATTATGCCAGAATAATAGGTTTCCTAGCTCTAAGCAATTGGCAATTTCAATCAGATAAATGTGTTTATAATGCAGCTTCTTAGGTATACCTGCAGCTAATGAGAAAACTAAATTTTCGTAATGTTTTTTTTGGAATTAGAGATTTCGTTTGTCAAAGTCCTATAACATTAGTTTAGAAGACTTTTGAAAACTAATTTTTAGAGGTCATTTATTTCAGTCATTTAATTTAATGTATATGGGGCTTCTAACAAAGCACCTCACATAAAAATTTATAAAAACAAAACATGGACATTGGTAAAATCTTAGGGGGGTAGGGGTGTAAAGTCTGTTTAGCCCCTCCCCTTTCCAAATCCACCCCTGATATCACAATAATGTCTACAATGTATATATTACACAGGTCTGAGGGAGTTGGTATTAAGCGCAAACAACGCAGTTACTAACGTTGGATGGGCACATCTAGCCACTGCCATCGCAGTACGGTCATCTCTACGACACCTCGGCCTGGATTATAACACTCTTGGTGACTATGGTGCTGGTGTGTTTGCAGTAGCAGCGGCAGTGTGTAAATCCCTCCAAGTAATTGATCTTGAAGGTACTGGGATATCTGAGGAGGGTGGCTTGGTAAGCTCATTTGTAATAAACATGGTTTATTTTTTGGTGGTTGATTTTTGCCAATTTATCGCAAATTATTAAATAGGCATATTAATTTGATCTTTCCATCAAGAAATTACAATGACCTTTACGTCACCATTACTGGACACCAGGATTTTTTTTTTTCACCACCGCCACTGGCATCACTACCAACATCACCACCACCATCACATCCACCAACAACACCATGACTAACAACACCACCACAATCATCACAACCACCACCATCACTACCGCCACTGGCATCACTACCAACACCACCACCATCATCACATCCACCAACAACACCATGACTAACAACACCACCACAATCATCAAAACCACCAACATTACATTCATCACCACCATCATGATCACCACCAACACCACCACAATCATCACTACCATCACTACTACCAACAACACCATGACTAACAACACCACCACAATCATCACAACCACCAACATTACATTCATCACCACCATCATGATCACCACCAACATCACCACAATCATCACCACCATCACTACTATCAACATCACTATCATGATCATCACCAACACTGTCACCACAAACACCAATATCACCACCATCACAATCAACGCTACCATTTTCATGATCACCACCAATATCACAGCCAACTCAACCACCATCATCACTATTGTCATCACCCACAACAACAACAACATGACCATCACCATCACAACCACCTTTATCATCACCAACACCATCATAATCCACATTATCATTAGGAAACTAAGGTCTATACACTGCAACATATACTGTATTTGCAATATCATAGAGAATCAACATAAAGATTGTGTTGGTTGTTTTAAACAGATACAGTATACATTTTAATCCCTTAGCCAAGCTATGCCTAATAAATGCATCCACACAGTCATATAAATCGGCAAAAATACCTCGAAATACTGCAGATCAATATATTATCCTCAGTATCACGTAGAGCTGCGTTATTTGCACAAATCTATAGATACGTTTGTACAATTAACAGCCTTACTATGTGGTATGCGCACACACTTTCACCATCACTCATTGAATATGATTCACTGAATTCAGAATGCCCATAATTAATCAACAATATTAATTACAAGATGACTCAGTCTGTAGGATAGCTTAAGGGATACTTTGACTGACAAAGCTTTGACTTAGCCAATACTGTACATTAAAATACGCTGGAATCTGTATTGTGTTTCAATATAGATGCCGAACATAAATATATAATCTACTATCATAATATAAATCATTTCATACATTAAAGGATAATGATATCTGTAGTAAAATTAGCTATAATTAACTAAAATATGCAGTTTCAGAAATTAAATGTTTTTTTTTGTTCATGTGAATAACTACTTACAAATTCCTTCTCTTACTATTAAACCAACCAACAGCAAATATAACATTGTATTAGAAATATGATAGTAATATTTATAATATATAATAGTAATAATAATGATAACGCACAGTCTTCCTAAAATTACATTTTAAAAATATGTATTATAATAATCATAATTAAATAATTAAAATAATATCAATTTTAATATTAATAAAAGTTCTTGTAATAATTGTATTAGAAATATTTTACAGTAATATACTGTATATAATAGTTATAAGAGTAATAATAATAATAATAATAATAATAATAATAATAATAATAATAATAATAATATAATAAAAGCTATAATACAGTAATAATAGTAATAATAATAATGCTGTAATTGTCTTTTAATATGAATATCTTAGTCGTTGCAACCAATAAGAAATGTCTTATTATGTGTTGCCCTTTAATTTTGTAATGCTAACTTCTCAGAAACACTCCTACATGCATAAATGATTCAATCGTCTTGAAAATATGTGAAATGAGATTTATCTCTATGGTTGAACATAGCAGAATGTGTGATTTATGTGTGTTGTCAAAGGTGTGTGTATACATAATTGGTCTATTATGATACGTAATTAGGCCTAGATATTCTAATGCTTACAACACAATAAAAGAATCTAAATGTCACACTCAAATAAGGCACTTCTAACAATCAATTTCCATTTTTTTAATCCAAAGTCATCCATTTCTTAAATGGAAAGTAACGGTTTGTATGCTTAGTACTGTATGTTCCAATTTTGCACAACAGTTTAATGAAGTCCACAAAAAAATGAAGATGTTTGATTAATAAGATTATGCATGATTTGTTATTCTGCCAGCATATGTAATTATAATTACAAATATTTATTAATATTATATTAATATTGATTAATATTTATATTAACATTGATTAATATTACATTAATATTGATTAATATTATATAATTGCTATTTTATGATGTACTCACTATGAATCAGTATCAGTAAATTAAAAAAGTGAAAATAGAAATAAAAAGAACATGACAATTATAAATATTCACTATTTTTATGAATTGAATGTATTTAGATAAATTAAATGCGAACATAATAATTATGTGTACACTAAACTGTTATCTTTCTTTATTTGTAATAGGTATGGCAAAATCTTTTAGAATGCTTCCAGACAGATTTGACATCCGTATTATTGAATGGAAACAACATCAGTACAGACACACTAAACACCATCAAAGGTTCAGTTACTGTCCATGAAATCCCTGCCACAAGCTCTGAAAATAAAGACAGCGATAGTGACACTCATTGTACATTTTCACGTGGAACTTTTAGACGGCGGAGAATGTCAGGGGGAGACGTAGCGAGGATCAATTACCCAAGAAGTAGCTTAGCAACATCTTCTGTTAATACCGGTGCATCTAGAGCCAAAGGAAAAGAGCGTTCGCGCTCAGCGTCACGACGGAACTCATTTCCAACGATAAGAAAGAAAGTTGCACCGGGGGCTAGCGGATACTCCTCTGATCTTAGTGGTTCTGAAACAGATGGTAGAAAATTAGAAAATACAAGCAAAGAAGCAAAATGCCTTGGAAATGGGTCTGATAATGGTGTACAAGGAATTAACGTAGGGGGAAGAAATAGTCCACGGCAACTAATATCGCCAAAACATACGAGACGAGAAAGTTTAGGAAGTAGTCACGATGAGTGTAGCTGCAATGACGATGCAGACGACGAAAAGGATAACTTAGAAAATAGCTCTAGTTCTCGCGAGAAATTACGAGACGTAAATTCACGAAAGCTGCAACTTCAAAGGACTTTTACCGGTCAAAGGATTGCTAAAACAGGAGAGGAACGGGATCAGTTTGATAGTGACAGACTTTATTCCCCAAGGAAAATAAAAGCCGGACGACGAAGAAGTTCTCCAAGACCATCTCTTCCAACTCTATATCAGACACTTTAAAATCATAATAAACTGTAACATATTGCATGCATCCCATTCAAAACTTGGGTGTTGCAGTTTTAGATCTATTAAGTGGGGTACAAAAGACCCTAAAAGCTCTGTTCACACTCTCAAATTTGATGTGACATATTTGTGTGACGTGCCCATATATGTGCATGATGATGTCATTTTATTACTCCTTTTTATGGGCAATTCAATATTTGTCACATAAAATTTTATAGCATAGACAAACCTTTAAGCTCTGTCGACACTATAAAATTGGATGACATATTTGTGTGGTGTGCCCTTATATGTGCGTGATGTGCCCTTATATGTGCGTGATGATATAATTTTATTACACCCATATATGGGCAATTTGTCACCTAAAATTTTACAGCATAGACATACTTTTAGGTTCTGTCCACACATCCAATTTGATGTGACAAACTTGTGTGATGTGCACATATATGGCCATATCACATTTATTTGTCACATAAGATTTTATAGTGTGGACAGACCATACTATCAAATTTTATGTAACAAATTGCCCATATATGGGTGTAATAAAATATGACATTATCATGTACATATGGGTGTAATATGACATCATTATACCCATATATGGGTGTGGTATGAAATTACCATGCCCTTATATGGGCAAATTATAGATATTTGTCACAGAAAAGGTGATATTGTGGGCAGAGATGACCACATTATAATAAGTGTTCACTATTTCAATAACCACGTCTTATTATCTGTGATGTCATTCAACTATACGCTTTTAGTAACAGCAGCTAAATACATCTATATATCTTAAAAGTCTTGAAAACACTGGAATAAATGTATTTTAATGAGTGCAAATTATTAATACAAATAAGTACACATAACCATGGATTAAATGAGCAAATAAAGAAACTACAAAAACAAAAGAGTTAGTAAATATTTATTATCGTTCTGGCAAACAGGAAGATCTTTGAAGTGGTAAATACTCGTAACGTGTATGTCAAATGTGTTTGATAGCTCAGTAAATGTACACAGGGTGAGAAGCAACGGTAATGGCAACGTATTTGTAGAGCCTATTATTATAAACAGTCTTGATATAGTGGTTACGTCATGTGAGTTGGAATGGAGATATTCAGCGTGTGTAAAGGGTGTAAAAAGTACAGCAGTAAAATGTAATGGTCCTTGTTCAAATTCGGATTAACTCCCTGGGATCCTGTGGCAGCTGGAGCGGAGCACTACATTTTTAAAACTGGTCAGCCTTCACAGGAAGTCAATTACCATCTTTTCATTATCACGCAAACTTGCTATTCAGCATATGTGAACAGCTAAAAAACCCATCCAAAGGACGAGGTAATAAACCCAAACCCTATCACTTCTATGTTGTTGCTAAGGTCCCCACAAAATAACAGTGTTAAAACATACGCATATGTGTTTGCGGGAAAACATATGTGATTGTTAGAAATGCATGTATTCCTGGCCTGGTCTGATTAGTCAGTTAAGTTTGACTGACCCTCCAGACAGGTCCATGAGAGCAAAGTGTGCATTAGCAGGGCTCGATCTTGGTATCTCTCGCACTGAAGTACAATTCTTTTAGTCACTATGCTAATTCCTCCCCCCCCCCCCCAGTATTTTGCATAGCATAAAGCTAGTTGTTGAGGTGGCCATAATCGGTGAGCGCAGACGGGTATGATAAGTATTATGAGAGTTGAGGTGGAAGTTTTTCTTACATGCAGATATTACGTGATGAATACACTATCAAGTTTTACTGTAATTTGCCCATATGTGGGTGTGATATGACATCATCATTCCATATATGGACAAATCACATATATTTGTCACAGAAAATTTGACATTGTGGACAATTGACCAAAGCATATTTTTTTAATCATATATTATCTTAAAGTTAAATAAAAATTATATGTGAACAACATCTCCTTTTCTTTATATGTGAACAACTCCTCCTTTTCTTTTCTGTTTTTGTAAAGCTCTTAGAAACCTTGTTTTGTATTAAGCGCTCTATAAGACCACATTATTATTATTATTATTTCTAGGAAATTATAAATTACAGTATTAGAAATGGTTTGTAAATAGCCTTATCCAGAACATGTGACATGCTAAAGATTCTCTGGTCATGATGGTATCACATCATGGCTATATATAGGCACATTATGACTATATATGCGCATACAACAGTTTTTTTTTGTCAAAGAAAATTTGATATGTGCATAGTTAAATTAATTCAAAATGGCAAGCACCACCGATCCGCTAGAGTCTACTTGGCCAGACGAGTTGTCGTGTAAATTTGTATTCATAGGGGAGTGTATTATTTGCACACTACCTACTTGATTTCATTCACCGCACATAATATACATCCGCATCGTCTGATATTTCATGTGCAGTATGACATTGTAATACCATGGTTGCAGACATGGAAGTGAAATATCGAACGACATAATTAACTCCACTAACTGGATACCATGCCTCCAGACGTGTCGCATTGCCATTACTTTATTGATTTGCGTCGGCCCACATGCAATGTAGTCTTTTCCAGAGCATATTTATACCTACCTATTCCATGCTTATATTATATTCTGGTCAAAAGATTTTATCCTATCAAGGAGTTACTATACTTTAAAACATTGAATAGAAACCCCATGGTCTTAATTTTGAGAAGAAGCCCACCTCAAAAAGAAACCCCCTTCTTCAGTTTGCAAAAGTAATCTTGAAAGAGGGCCCATCTTGAAAAGAGTACTGTACTAACATTCAGAAAGACGTTATCTTTGATTATTATGATAGCGTGTCAGTATCAATAATATTTTATTGTACTAGCATGGTTAAGATTTTAAAAAATATTAAATAGAATTTCAAATTCCATAGTTGAAAAATGTATAGTAACAATTCCCAAATTTACTGGCATTCAATGTGAAAAGAAGTCCCCATTTTCAGTTTGCAAAAGTTATCTTGAAAAGAAGTGGCGTTGCTAACAGTGGGTATGGAGATAGTGATTTAACCCTCAATAGGCCAAAATTGTCGGTCCAAGAATTCTTTTGGCATATTACGTTCTGAAGCCCTGTCCAGACTATCAAATTTTATTTGACAAAAACATGTGACATGCCCAAATATGGTCATGATGACATCACATTATGACCATATATAGGCACATCATGACTATATATGGGCATACAACAGTTTTTTGTTAAAAAACATTTGGAAATATCAAAAAATATTTAAAAGTCTGAAAAGAGCTTTAAAACTTCCACGAGGGATGGTTAGAAGGTTTCATTTCATAAAAAAAAATTCAGTACAAGTAATTTGCGAAGCAAGGCAGCCCATAAAAGTATACAATACACAATACAATACACACATTTAAACGTATATTTTCCTTTCTGACATATAAATTCACACTATCTTAATGCAAGTTACATATTATACAGTCATATAAATTTTTTTAACACAAGAAGCTGAGAAATTGTCCGCAATAAAATGTTACAAGTGTCATCGAGAGCAACAAAATGAAGTAAGCATGAATATAAAGGTACTTTTACAGGCCCACGTTTGTATTTGCAGATGATAAATATTATATTATCCGCGAGTACTGCGATATGACTCGTCTCTGACGAGATATGGATCAGTAATAATTGAAGCTGATATGAAGGGTTATCATACAGGGATTATTACTCTTCTTCAATCAATTCACTTTTAATCACTATCATATTCACATGTGTTATCTACCTGAAGATGATATTAATTCATATAAGTACAGTACTTAAGCTTGCTAAGTGCAAGGCACAGTTAAGACTGCTATGCATGATAGCTTCGGAGACGGTATATTGAAGTGTCGAAATGGGGGGGGGGTGGGATGATGGGGTCACAAATTGAAAGGCTTGAATATTTAGTGAGGTGGCACTAGCTCACAAAATAAGGTGATATTAGGTAATTTTTAACTACTTGTGATTTTTGGCTTCAAACATTTTCAATGAGGAGGGGGGAACGATCCCCTATACACGCCACTGTTTGGTGATCCAGATGCAAGGTCGATGTGCTTAACATTATTAAGATTTAAAAAAGGTCGATGTGCTTAACGTTATTAAGATTTAAAAAAAAAAAGAATTTACCTCATATAAGTACTAAAGGAAACATGCACACAGTAACTTTACTTTCTTTTTTGTTCTTTTTGTATTCAATTTCCCAATAATTTTTCATTGGGCCTAAACTGTAATGCGTTAACACTTTAAAATTCATTTTTGAAATTAACCTCCCATTTTGAAGTAACATAAAAATTATAAACTTGAACATAGAAATTAGTGTACTTAAAAATGTTTACCCATAATTTTACAGTGAAAAAAATATAGAAACACTTCCAGCCACTGGAAGTGTTTTATTATAATTCTCCAGCTTTATCAGTGTACGCATATTTTAATCCAATAATTTCTATGCTCAAGTGAATAGTTTGTATATTACTGCAAAATGAGCAAGTTATTAAAAAATTATTTTTTATGATTTTTTTTTTTCATTTTCAAGGGACAATACATCTTTGAGAATTGAAGCAATTTGCGATAACTAAATTGAATTGTTAATAGTTTAATTACCAGTTTATTAATATACAAAATATATACTGTTAGAATTATACTTGTTTTACTACTGATATTTTAAAAGATTTAAGTTTAGATGTTTTATTTATAAGCATTTTATATTGTAAGCATTGCTTTTTTGCCAAGGTGCCCTCACGCAACAGTGATTAAGTTTCCTTTTGGGGCATTCCTGTCTCAAGTTTTGTTTGTGCTTGTTCCTTGCTGTTTCTGTTCTTGCAAATTTTAATGTTTTTAAGACAAACAAATGAAATGAACATACCATGTTCAAAGGCAGACTCAAATTTAACATGGTATCATTCTTAGCATTGTTCTGATATTATCACTACCATTAACTTTCCATCAGTTTTGCATAATCACAGTAATACTAGTCACATTGTCGAAGTTGAGACATAATCATTGCTACCACAATCTCATATTAGTTGAACATGAATAAATGTATTAAATTATAATCATCATACAATCGATTGTCATTCAATCTTAATCAGTGTTGATTGCGTTTCCATGGACTGTGTTTATTAAAAAGCTTTTAATATGTCACAACTGCTACATATATTATAAATTATACATACATGGAATAGAGTAACAGAATATCAATCAATAAATTTACATGTTACAATGTCCATAACAAATTACAAAATAAATTAGATTGAAAAAATATAACTGTTACAAATTAAAAAATAGAAATAAATAATCAGCTAAGCAAAAATTTCAAATATGAAAGTTAAAATTCAATATATGGAACGAAAATATATAAAAGGGAGAACAGTGGAAGCACTTGGGGGGCGGGGGGGAAGGAAAGGGCAACATAACCCTCATCGGACAGGTCAAGCCCACGGTTGGCCATGAGTAATACTATAATAGTCAGGTTTTTTTTTTCTAAATGCCAGCTTACCCCATCAATCATCAGATTTGTCGAAAATTTACTCCCTTCTCAAAAATGCTTATCTTCCCTGATTATATCCTAGTGCTATGATGAGGAGGAAGCCATGTTGAATCAATAATCCCTGTATATTCTCGAACGTTAGCCTGTAGTCTAGATTGACTTGGTAATCAATTATTTTTGATGACACCTTTAATTCACTGTCCGTTCATGAACCTTAATATAGTAACAAGACTTTGTTTATCTTATTCTTCAGTAGCCAGGTACCGTGCATTAAATAACAAACTGAACCATTATGTTAGTAACATCTGAAATGTCAACTCATTTTGTAACTATCAATTTAAAATTACGGCAGCAACATCGGCTGTTTCTCACAAATGTAATTAAAACGTTTTACTTTAATAAAGAGTTACATGTTAATTTAGAAATACTAGTCACTTTAAAACGAGACTTCTT